ACAACTGCTATATACTTCACCCAGATCTACTTGAATCTGTAACCTATCAGTTCTGATAGTATTTATGTAAATAAAACATATAATTTTCAAGTTACATTTACATTATCCATAATTCTGATAATAACACATCATGTAATAAAACTAATAAGTTTGTATTGATCAAATAAATAAATAAATGAATATTAATAAACAAATCTCAATCACATTTCAATCCTTCAATACTTTTCCTGTTTTCAGGTTTTGGGTTTGGACTACTCGTAACTGTATCATTCACAATTCTAAACGACTACTTTGATAAAAAACACAATTTGATCATGGGTATATCCCAGACCGTCATATGCATTGGGACAATAATATTTCCGATAGTAATAGCCTATACTATTGAGCATATGGAGTTCAGAAATGTTGGAATTATGCTTGGAGCGTTCTCTTTACTCAACTTTCCTGCAATTGCAACATATCGCTGTCCCAGAAAAAAATCAACAGGAATAACAAAAGAACTGGGTAAGATTTTCATTGGATGAAGATTATAGTCAGGAAGGATTAGTATACCATTAGTTGATATCGAGATAGTTTCATATGAAACACGGCGATAGAGTTCATTGAAAAGGTACATTTAGGGTTGCGTATTTCAGAGGAGGCAATTTTATTTTTTGGTGGTTAGAGGGGTTAGTATAAGCTCGAGTTCAAGTTTATGGAGTCACAACCCTCATGTCCCAGCCGCTACCTTGGAAAAAAAGGGTTTTTAATCTGTATCTCGTAAACTACCAACCGTACAAATAATTATATGATACATCATTTGTAGCGAATCAAATCATCTACAAGTTTATTTTCAATGATAATGATAATAATCGGCTTTATTCATCAACATAATAATATACAAAAACAAAAATAATGATGAAAGGCGAAGTTCAGCTTTAGCTGTTTTTCAACTTAACCTAGTTAAGGAAGGATATTTGGAAGTTATACAAAAAATTCAAAAATAAATGATAAAATAGTAGACAGAAACACAAAATAGTAGACATCAAATTTTAAAAATAAAAAAAAATATAAACAAAAACAACAGAAAATTTTTAAACAAATTTTTGTTTGGGCGTTATAACTTTTTTCTTTTTTTTACAATGAAACATGATTAGGGCAATCTTATAACTGGTTCTTCAACAAATAATTTCCGTTACAAATTCGTTAAATTGCATTGATTTGTCTGAGTTGTACAGTGCTCCGAAGTCGACCGGGTTCTTAAAAATACTCGTAAGAATACTCCTATGTTGATATCAATTGTTATCGACTTTTTTCCCCACCACCTATGAGGTAGAGTCCTGAGTCGCTTTTTTTTACGTGATATCTAATCAACAGACAATTTCTAGGCTAGAAAATATTGAGCATAATCATATATTCAGAAAGTTTTTTTTCAGCTATTGTTTTTCAATTTTCTTTGATGATCCAGGCTGCGGTTCAGGATCTAATTCAGAGTATTGAAGATGAATGTGCGCGGAATAACGGGAGTTGGAATTGGCGTCACTGTGATGAGTAATTTGTCTTCGAAATGATTTTCTTTAAATAATTTTGATATTTCCATGATATTATTGCAGTATTCACCAGAACAACACTACAGATCATTTGAGGCATACTTTTCGCAATCACACATATTTCCACAGTTTTCCTTGTATCTGCAGAAAATTAATTTCAGAAGTTCTAGGGATGCTTGGTGACTTTGAAGTGGTATCCAAATTTTTGCATGCTTTTTATCTAATTCAGAGTATTGAAGATGAATGTGCGCGGAATAACGGGAGTTGGAATTGGCGTCACTGTGATGAGTAATTTATCTTCGAAATGATTTTCTTTAAATAATTTTGAATTTCCATGATATTATTGCAGTTTTCACCAGAACAACACTACAGATCATTTGAGGCATACTTTTCGCAATCACACATATTTCCACAGTTTTCCTTGTGTCTGCAGAAAATTAATTTCAGAAGTTCGAGGGATGCTTGGTGACTTGTGTGGTTTGGAGTGGTATCCAAATTTTTGCATGCTTTTTCCAGCCCCAATCTTCAGGTTTTATATATGGCTACGTCATTGCAGAGAATTTGCTGTTTCTCTATGCTTTTTCAGGATGCGACACATCAGCAGCTTATAAACATAGGCAAACTCAAATTTATCAGAATTTCACAGAAACATTCTGAGTTAGCCAGCGGAAGAGCATTATTTCTCAGTGAAAAAGTCGAACTATCTCTGCACACAGTCGGTGGTTAATTTTTTTTTCAATCGTCTTATGGTGGAAATGGAGATGATTCTCTGGACAGAAAGATTCGCAAAGATAGTAACCAAAAATACATTCAACTAATCATCGCTTCCTCCAACACAAGATGCAGCCCGTTTCCATAGTCTCCGAGTTTATCACCAGGTTCAGTCATGGTTTGACAAACCTGAAGACCTGATCCTGAAGACTGACACTGGAAAAGTTTGGTGAAATTAGGATAATAATCCAAACTCCTAAGCCTAAGGCCAAACGCTAAGACCTAAAAAATGTAAAATTTCAATGAACTAATATTGTATCAAGGGTTTGCTTCAACATTACGAGTGGTGGATGCCACCTTTACTCGAAAGTGAGAAAGTGTTATTCAAAATGAATCCGGGAAAATGCAGATTTTCCAATTTTAGAAACATCAACTTGATGGATATTTTTCTGAAAGTCGCTTCTTTTTGACTAATTCGCGAAAATGCTAATGAATCAACCAATAAACTCATATTTTCAAGTAGTTCCATGCGAATAACTCAAAGTATTAGTATTGCATTCAAAAAATCACTCTGAATAGGAATTGATCTCATGCAACAACAAAAATAGTGGTTGGAATATAGTGTCCATAGGCCAAATATGAACGAATATAATAGCTGATTGGAGGTTGGTTCTTATTCGCCAAAATATTTTTTTAAACAAACTCGTGAAACCTTTTTTGGAGTCTTTGAAAAAACTTCACTTCTCTCGAAGTTCCTAGCATCAAATGTAAGGAAGTTATGACCAAAAAAATGTAGCAGATAATGTCAGCGACAGAAAATGTAAAAATCACCTCTTAATTACCACATTTAAAATGATCGTTTTCACTTCACAATCAACTTCAATTATACTAGAAGTCTGAGGTTTGAAAAAACTCAATCTTGAAGGGAATGAAGCATTTTTGTGATTTTACCTTTTATTCAAAATACCTAACCCATAAACATTGATATCTGAATTAGAGCTTTGAAAAATACACATTACAGCCTTATTCTGGGTATCATAATCAGTTATTTGTTATTTTGAGAGAAATGAAACTTCATGCGATATTACAAAAATGGAAAATTACAGAAATGTTCTTCCACATTTCCTTTTTGAACACTGTAATCGGTTGAAGTTCCAGAGCAGGGGTTCCCAACCTTTTGGCATTTGCGTTTCACTTGACTTTTTGAGAAATATTGGTGTACCAGCAGACCTAAATATTTCAATAAACGTATAATATTTACTCTTCTAAAAGTGTTTGAAGGCTTTTTCAAATAAATTCCTGAGAAAACTTCATATTCAATGGTTAGATATTTGTTTATTTATAAAATGCTTATAATAAAAGAGGAATAAAAAGATTGAAATTGTATTAATTCACAGTTTTATTTATTACCCATAGGTCGAGAAATATACAAAAAAAATATTAAAAAATCTGCAAAATAAATGGTTAGATATTCATTTATTTATAACATGATTATAATAAAAGAGGAATAAAAAGATTGAAATTATATTAATTCACAGTTTTATTTATTACCCATAGGTCGAGAAATATACAAAAAAAATATTAAAAAATCTGCAAAATATACTTTTATAGTCTTTAGTGCGAAACTTGTTGTTGTTTGCCTGTGATTAAAATATCAACATTAGTGTGTTCATCAAGCCATTGGTCACCAGAAAAATAAGAGTATGGTCAGTTTATTGGCTATCAAACACTGGGTACTGTAAGTATATTTCTGCTACTGATCTGCTCTGAATGACATTTTGAACCCATGGCACTTGTACAGAAAATGATAAATCGTACAGTTCAGTCTTCATAGTTTACTGCTTTGGTGCACAAATTCGTAATTTTGTATGATACTTTCCAACATACTCCTTGAAAAACATATTTTTATATGGATCTGTCAATTTTTTTCTTCTTTTCTGGGTTCCAACCTTCGACAACTCAAAACATGAACATGGTCAAATCGAAAAAGAATCTGCCGAAATGGAATAGAAGACAAACTCAATAGTTCATCCTGAAAACGTATTGTGTGATCAAAGATCCTAACCGTTCGAGAATTACTAGATGAAGGTTATCTTCCGTTTAGCTTTTCTGCAATATTTCAAATAGTATAAAGACAAGGCATACGAACTTTTTGTGATATGTTGTTTACAATGACATTCTGAAGATATTTGAATCGTTAAACACAATGTTCTCGAAGAAGTTCTTGTAGAGTATATTGGGAGTCAAAATAAATTAAAGTGATTCTCAAACTCGGATTAGGCATCCCTAAAACCCCATTACGTACGAAAGAATTTCGAAAGGGATCAATTCATGAACAAAGAAGTCCAGCATTCTTTAAATTTTGATCTTGATGACACGAAACCTCATTCTATAAAACAGTGGTTGGATCATTCGAGCCAATGAAAAATAGAAATTTTGCCTATACAATTCTCCAAGCATTCATCGGAAATTATAGTCAGTAGCGGGTCGACCATCTCTGATTGTTGTTTTATTGCTAGAGCTACTGTGTCTGCTGAGTTTTTGCGACTGTTCCTCAACGGTGTAACGCTCTTCATGCGTTACGGGTCATTTTGACGCCGAGTTCAGCTCACGGGTTGCCTCGGGCGCCAGCTTTCAGCGTGGTGTGCTCCACGTACTCCGGGCAGCGTCAGTGAAGAAAGTAATACACCAGGGGCCACTATGGTTCGAATCATGGGTACCTGCTGCTTTTAGTTAGAAGTAAAATGAAACAAATGAATCAAACGTAAACAAATTTATTTCAAAAAATTAATATGGGTTATATATGTATCATCAGTAATATTAAAAAAAAAACAATCTATTACTACTTTTACTACTATTACTATTTTTCCCGCAACAGCGGGAAAAGGTTACGCATTCATCATGCCAAGCATTGACTAGGGGACAGACGATTAGAAGACTACAGTAAACGGTGTGCAAGTACAAGTTCTAAGCTCATTCAAAGCTCTAATATGAGGATTCGTGATTCTCAGTTCAAAACAGATAATAACTAGCAATAAACGGTGGTATCAACATAAGGGGTGTTTGGTACACGGCACTCGACAAATTCTAACAACGGTATGAAACATATAATAATTAATGAAGAATGTGTTCATCACACGGCCCATGTGATATGAAATCAGTTCACAGAAATAGTCGCAACGGTATTCGGAATACCTCAATTCATCAATATCAATATGAAGGGTATTCAGCAAACGGCCTTCTTCAAAATAAAATAGTCAATGACCACTCATAGAATATAATTGTCCACTCGGTATGATGTTATATGAAGGGTGTTCTTCACACGGCCTTTTATATAAAATGAAACGGTCAATTAATTGTCGAAATACCATACAAACTGAGAACCACTACCTTTTATCTCACCCTTTTCTTCCTGTACTCCACTTACTTTTTGACTAACGGTTCATTTCTGCTCCTAGGCGGTTCGGTGATTGATCGGATTATTATTTGCCTTCATTAACGGATTTCTAGCGAGCATCCAAGATGATGAACCAAGCTGGAAGTCAAACTCGAACTGAACTGGAACCGAACTGAACTCAACTGCCTTGGTAGATACTCTCGAGAGTATTTGAAATAATGTTATACGTGGGATCCGGAGATGGACGAGTTGTGCCTACCATCGGTGGTACGGTGTATTACCAAATAACGTATGATTTTCAAATCGCATCGGCGACCTGGCACAGTACAGTTTCCTATCGCGATAGAGTGGCACTTCTACCCAGTTTGGGAGCGGTGACAGTAGAGGAAGGTATTCATGGGGTCAATAATATGAACACAAAATGATGAAAGCTGCTTCTACCTGACGTACCACCGAAAGAATTTGTAACTTCGTTACACACCCTTCCCACTTCGGGAAAAAAATATGTCAACTAACTTTTTTTTAGTTGAATATATTTACACGGCCTCAATCAATAAACAAAATATCTTCTTAGAATGAGAAAAAAAGGTAACCGATCAGGTGCCCACCCCTTTCAACGACCGAACCCTTTATTAGAGGAGTAAGTACGTCTATTACACTTGTAACCAAATAGATAATGAAAACAAAACAACAACTGCTATATACTTCACCCAGATACTGATAATTGAACAAAATTTACATTTTTCGGGGCCATCCTATCGTCGGTGTTGATTGTGGTGAAATGGACGTTGACAGCCACAATCGGGACATGATACGTGCTACCTCGGGTAAGGACACTGGCATCGCGTACAAGGGGCACTGTTCCTGGTTGTATCGAAACGTAAATGTTTGGTTGGATGTAGCGGTAGATTGTCGCACAAACAGTCCCGGGACAGGACGTCTTTAAACCCACAGCGGGAAAAGAAGTGTACCGGAACTTTTTGTGTACTCCGGCTGTGCTTTGGTAGGCCACATCGCCAACATAATTCCTTGTCTACCTGTTGGTAGACCAACAACGGTTTGGTTGGCGCAAGTTGATTCTTCCTCGCAGCTTGTTGTAAATGTTCGGCCGTTCAGAATCTATCGTCAAACGGATTTTCCTTCGGATGTTCAACGAAATATTGGTGGAGAAGGCTGCTTGACCCAGAGTCGGAGCGTATGGTACACGTGGTTATGATACCGTCTTCGAGAGCGAAACAGTTGTTTTCAGGGATACAGCGGATGATTCTGGCTGACTATCAGACTCTTGCATCGCACCTAAGACGGCGGCTGCGAGTGCATAGGTGGCTGCCTCTAGGGGATCAATGGATACGTCCAGGGTGTTCATAGTGACTGGAACAGAATTGATTACCAAATATACCAAACTATTAACCGGGTAGGTCAAACAAACTATTGAATCAGAGAAACGAAAATATTTATGCCCATCAACATAATGTTTGATAAAGAGAAAATAAATGAATAAATAAATAAAGAACACTTTCAAAACAGTAGAAAAATAAAATAAAATGAAATTCAATGACAGTCTTTTGTAGCTTGAGTGGGGCACCTCAACACCCAGGTGGAAGCCATACTCGACAAGAGGATTCATCCGATCCTACTAGCCGCCTGTGATATCGGCCTGTTGGACGGTCGGGTGGTTGAAGGACACTTAGAGCCTCTTACGGTGGAGTGCGACGATGACCTAGTTCTTTCAGCGAGTCATCGAACAAACGGCCAGTAAATTGGGTTCTGTTGTCGCTATCTTTGGATATTCGAAACGAGTAAATATATGTTCGTGAAGCGACTGGGAGACGGCATCAGCAGTGGCTTTGCTGTTCAGTCGACATGTTCTCACTTCGTAAATCGGTCTAAAATTACCATCAGTCATGTATTTCCCTTTGAAGACCGGGGTAAAGGGCCCACTAGATCGATACTGGCACACTCTCAGAAACGGTAATTTGGTGACGGCTGCATCTTACCGGTGGTTTCATGTGTGATGATTTGAATCTTTGACAGGAATCATAGCTGCGGACATAATTGGCGATATCACGGAACATTCCGGGCTTATAGTAGCGAGTTTTAATTCTTGCAATCGTTTTGGCTATACCCATGTGCCCGGTGGTTTGAGCGTCATGCATTTCTCTGTGCATGTCGAGTCTTCGGGACACAAAGTTTACATGGATTGGCTAATTCTGGCTTCGTCAAATCATTGGAATTCCAGAAATGTCGGTATAATCGGTCCTCTCAGATGCAGTAGTCAGGGAATGCTTCGGAAGATCGCTGTACCTCCTCCTTCTATTTCTCATACCAGGAGCATCCTGCCGGAGATTCAACAGCAGCTAGTTCTTCGATAACATTTTCAGAATCTGCTCGTGACTCTCTAGACAAAGCGTCGGCTACAGTCCACTCCGACGGTATTTAACTTCAAAATCATAATGCTGTAAAAACAGAATCCATCGAGCAAGCCGGGAGCGGGGCTTTTAATGAAATGGAGCTAACGAAGTGACTGGTAGTTGGTTAGGACGGTAAAATGGTATCCTTCTAGAAACAGGCGCATTTTCTCGATTCCCCAAACTCTACGCAAGCAGTCCTTTTCGGTTACGGTTCGATGAAAGTTAGGGACCTGATGGCGTATGCGATGACATACTCCTCTCCATCAATGGACTGAGTCAGAACGGCGCCTAATTCTTGATCAGATGCGTCGGTCTGCAAAGTGAACGGTTTGTCGAAGTTCGGGCAAGTAAGCACTGGTGCTTTTGTTAGACATGATTTGAGCTTTTGGTTATACTTCACCCAGATACTGATAATTGAACAAAATTTACATTTTCCGGGGCCATCCTATCGTCGGTGTTGATTGTGGTGAAATGGACGTTGACATCCACAATCGGGACATGATACGTGCTACCTCGGGTAAGGACACAGGCATCGCGTACAAGGGGCACTGTTCCTGGTTGTATCGAAACGTAAACGTTTGGTTGGATGTAGCGGTGGGTTGTCGCACAAACAGTCCCGGGACAGGACGTCTTTAAACCCACCGCGGGAAAAGAAGAGTACCGGAACTTTTTGGTTACTCCGGCTGTGCTTTGGTAGGCCACATCGCCAACATAATTCCTTGTCTACCGGTTGGTAGGCCAGCAACGGTTTGGGTGGCGCAAGTTGATTCTCCCTCGCAGCTTGTTGTAAATGTTCGGCCGTTCATAATCTATCGTCAAACGGATTTTCCTTCGGATGTTCAACGAAATATTGGTGGAGAAGGCTGCTTGACCCAGAGTCGGAGCGTATGGAACACGACGTTATGATACGTCTTCGAGAGCGAAACAGTT